AACAGGTTTTTACATCAAACCCTATGGCTGTGTCTAGACTGGCAAGTTTTTCCGCAAAATCTTCTGCTTTTGCGGAAAAAATTGCCAGCTGTCTACACTGGCTGCTTGAATTTCCACAAAAGCACTGATGATCTCATGTAAGATTGTCAGTGCTTTTGCGGAAATACTATGCTGCTCCTGTTCGGGCAAAAGTCTTTTTCCAAAAAATTTGTGCGCAAGAGGGCCAGTGTAGACAGCAGAGATTTGTTTTCCGCAAAAAGCCCCAATCACGAAAATGGCGATCGGGGCTTTTTTGCAGAAAAGCGCGTCTAGATTGGCCACGGACGCATTTCCGCAAAAAGTGTGACTATAAGGAAGCCTAAGTTGCTGACTCATGTACACTGAGAGAAATAAGAAGATATAGGAGGGAACAACTTACACAGTCCTTAGCATGCTTAGACTTCACAGGGCTTTATTTTTTTACTTATACTGATGTAAATTGCGCTTATACTGATGTTAAATGTGTAAGGAAAATCAAGACCATGGACTTGATTACCCACTTCCAAATTTAGCTGTTGATGTTATATTTAACACCAAAATAATCACTGTAGGTAATATGCAAGAACAAGTGTGGGAAATAAAATGGGGTGAGAATAAACCTCAGACAAAAAAAAGGGATGTTAACAGAATGAGGTTATCTTTGTAACTCTCTTTGTGACATAAATGTCTGGTCAGCTCAAACATTAACACAAGCTGACCTTTTCAACCCACTAAGCAGAGGGAGGCATGACAGCAATTCCTGTAGCATGACATTTTCACTGGGTGACATAATTCTCTACTAATTTAATGAAAAAACTTATGATGAAACATACATTAAGACACGTGTTCTGGCCTTTCCAGACACCTCTGAGTCACTCAAGACTAATTTTTCCAATTAAAAACAAATGTAGCGCCCCCTCTCCACCTGGTTACCTTTTTTTAAAGCCAGTCTCCTTTCAGGTTTGGATGGATAGGTCTGGGTTCTTCTGGATCCCGCCACCCACTCAATTTTAATCTTTCTGATTGATGTACTTGGCAGTGCCTCCACCCCCCTTACTCCTTCCTAGCAGGGTCACCAAGGCAGCTTGGGAGGAAAATTCTAGCCCAGGGTAATCCCCAAGTATTTGCCAGATAGTTGGAGACTCCCAGAAAATAGCACAAACATATACACTATAATAAACACAATTACAGGCAGTCCCCGGGTTACGTACAAGATAGGGACTGTAGGTTTGTTCTTAAGTTGAATTTGTATGTAAGTCGGAACAGGTACATATTTTAGGGGAAACTCTAGCCAAACATTTCTCCAGAGCTCAGTTTTATTCTCCCACACCTCACTTCCCTCAGTCCTTTATTCTCAAGCTGAGGTGTCTGCTGAGAAAAGCCGCTCCGCGTCTCCCTGGTCTGCTGGGGGGAAGCAGCTAGTGCGGGGTTGCCTCATCCCGTTTGTAAGTAGGGATCCGATGTAAGTCAGATCCATGTAACCCGGGGACTGCCTGTATATTAAACAAGAGACAATTATAACAGAACAGGGTAAAACACTATTTTTAGGGTCACCAGTGCCCAGCAACTGTGAGGTTAGTGTCCCATGGGTACGCGTACTTTGATGGGGCCCTTGATGACTGTTGACCACAAAATCCTTCTCTGCAGTGGTTTAGCAGTGGGGCTGACTAGGTCCAGTACAGCCCAAAGGACTCACACATGGGAGAAGGCAGCAAATCCCACCACAGGTTTAATATGCTGCAGGTAATAAAATCCCCAAACAAATTCCCTGCCTGACTAACTAAAAATTGGTGCACTCACACACTCCATGAATGACCTCAGGTTGAGAGATGACTCAGTCTCTGCAAAGGGGCTGCTCTCTTCTCACAGGGATCCTCTTCAAGCAGGAACCAGGTTGCTCGGTCCCAGGATTTCCCCTCACCGCGAAGGGGTGCAGGGCTCAAGGTGCAGACCACACAACTGCACCAAAATTCAAACTATAGCCTCCCAGCCCAGCATTCAGACACACACAGCAGGCAGCAGCCCTGAACTTGCTGCTAGAGCTGAGCTGACCATCTCTCACCCAGGGAGCTGGAGAGCCTATTCAGCCTGGCTGGGGAAGCCTCCCAGCAAACTCCACAACTGGAAATCAACAGGGGAGACATAAACCCAGCGGAGGGATCCTGCCTTCAGGTCCCTAGAGGCTAGTTCTCAGGGGGAACCCTGCATGCAGGCCTGGGGCTTACTAGCTCCCACACAGCCAGTCCTCCCCTTGCCCTGGCTGGCTCCAGACTCCCCTCAACAATGGTCCCTCCTTCCCCCTGGGAGGGGCATCTCACTCCCTATGGGTTGCCGGGCAGACTCTGGCCCTGGTAGGGAGGGGGAGCCAAGGCAAACTCAGAGTGCCTCTCCCTGAGCTGCCAGCAGACAAGCCCCCAGGAATCCAAATAATCTCCTTGGGGGTTACACAAACAAATCATCATGCTCAGCTTTCTTAAAGCAGTGACAATTAGAAAGGGATTGATTTTTTTTAAAGTATGGTCTTAGACTGTACTGTTTCCCTAGTGGGACCTACCTAAATCATTTTTTTAACCTCCCTTTATTTTCACCGTGTCTGTGATTAGTCAGAGACTGAGATATTTGTAGTGCTAATGTGTTCTTGAAGACTATTTTCCCCTATGTTAAGAATATTATGATTGCTATACGAGGGACCAGATGACTCTTGGGTTTTGTAATAGAATAGAGAGTCTCCCTTCTAGATAACCAATTGACCAAGGTTAGAACTAACCAAAGGTCATTCTCATCTAATGGATATTTGGAGGTCAGTGTGATATGAATTGATAGTCTCAAGACAGCAGACATATAACAAGTGTCACTGTAAATGTCACCAACTGATTCCCTGCCAGCATGCTCAGCAGAAAAGCCAAGGGATAAATAGACATGTAAAGCTATGAACTGTCCTTGCTCCGCCTAAAGATGACCCCCGTGAATTGAAAGGTCTACTCTAAAGCAATAGCAGCAAAGGAGGGAAGCTTGCACGAGGCCTGGTTGAGCTGTATCTATTTTGTGGATGAAGAAAGGACTTTAGTTTTTGGAGCTGTGTCTACTTAGACAATGCAGAGTAAAGCTCCCTAACTATACCTCTCACCTCACACACATATACCCGACATTCACTCAAGAAACCAAAATCTTTCCTACCACCAGGAAACCAACAGGACCCCATAACAGTCATTCAGATGATGTGTTAGCTAAAAGAGCTATAACTTTGACTTTTAAGACAACCTTTTATGTATATCTACCTAGTTGGAGGCAGGATGGAAAAGAAGTAGGTACTTTATAAAATTATGGTTGGATCTGAGTGCCATCGGTCCAGTGGTGACACTGGTGAGGAGAATTTTGGGTATGATAAACCAGAACAATTGGGCATATCCTTTTGTTTGAGGTACCTATGCTGACAAATCAAACATATTGGAGGACTCCACTAGATACATCTGGCAGAGGACGTGGGAGAAAAGTAAGAGCTCTGAGTCACCTGCTTTTATCATCTAAGGCCCCTTCTTTGTATTTGAAGGAGAGGCTGAGCTTTTAGATGACTGTGCAGCAACAGCTGGAGATGGTGGGTTTATATCCTTGAACTGAAAGGTGAGAACCTCTTACAGAAAGGGAGACAATTCAAATAGATCCTGAAGAGAAAGCTGTAGTTTAGGAAATGAATAACTGACTGAAAGTTGCTTCTGCTGGAGTGTGTGCAGGTTTTTTAAAATTATATTTTAATTTTTGTTTGCTTTGAAAGGGATGGGCATTCTGGATTAGCCAGAAAACAAAACTACCTACGAAGAAGAGAAACTGAGGCAGCAGATGCCTCTCTGCATGTGAGAGGTAAGGTTCCCCATTATACATGCATTGGATCATTAAGACAACAAACAATGGAAGTAAATAAGAATGCAAAAATTACAAAACGTTGCACAATTTATATCAAAAGTTGTAGAATGAAAATTAGAATACCAAGCCATTTGAGGAAAAAAATATTCCAATGTAACTAAGGATTAAGTCATAATATTACAGATAGACAACTGGGAAATATTAAGATTGAATTCTTATGTTATATGACCCACTTTCCCTGTATTTGCAATCTGGACAAGGTTGTGCTTATCCTTATACATTTTTCTAGATTAGGAAAAGACGATGAAGTTAATTGGGAGTTAACTCTTCTAATTTGCATTTTTCTCCTAATCTAGACAATTTATACGACTCTCTCTGTAGGTACTTTTTCCAATTGTTAGCCCAATCGGGTCTGCTTAACTTGATTAAAAAATTCCTCTTGGCACACATTGGCACAATTTAAGATAGTTTTAGCTGGTTATGTTGTATCTGAGGTGGGAACGTAGTTAACTCTATTGAGGTAACATTAGAAATAGCACCTTTCTGAGTATGGATAAAGGGCTTTTGTAGTTATACATTGGTCTTCTGTTGTTGAGAACATAAAGATGTGATGTTGTATTATGTTAGCCAATTGGAGCTAACACATCCTGGAACACTAGTCAAGACTAAACATATTTTTACTCTGGTAAATGCTAAACTGATTGAATTAAAGCTCAGGGGGAGAAGGAGTGAGAGCAAACCAGCTAACACTATTTAACATCATACTGAGTTAAATCCTAATTCGGACGAGGCAGAGAGAGAATGAGCAAGGTACAAGAAGCCTTCTCCCCACTCTTAAGTGGCCAATGCATAGATGAGATGTACTTGTGGTTTGTGAGTACAGATGAATTTAAGGATTGCACCATAAGGGGATGCCTGTCAAGTGAAACTGGAATATACTAGAGCTCGAAAAGAAAGCTGCACACCCCAGAAGACGTAGCAGCAGGTACGTTGATTTTGAACTCCTGGGAGGCATTCTGACACGCAGGCATGCTTTAAAGTAAAATGCCTTAAAGGTCAATTCAGGATGACAATGAACTTGGACTCAACTCAGGGTTTGGATGAAACCACCTGAAAGTCTATGAAACAACAAAGACTGGGAAAAAAACAATACTAATTCCTGGACTTCAGCGTTTGAGCAATAAACAAAACCTGCCGTAGTGCCCCCCGCAGCCCTCACTTCAGCTGTCGTCAGCTGAAAGGAGAGGTATAACTGTGTTCTGTGTAATGACATTGCATTCTTGCTATCAGAAAAGAGCATAAAGCCTTGTCCCACACGGAAGAGCTCAGAATAATCCAGAAGGAGAGTGAGAACATGGATTGGGTAAGTAACTTTTTCCCTGTGTATAGCAGTTAACTCACCTCTCACATTTTGTCAGCACATCAACGATGTGACATTAAGGCTGAGTTTCAACAGTAAGTGTTGACCATCCTTACCCACACCCTTCTGTCTATGACTGCACCTCTGTGTTTGCAAATCTGGGCCCTCTGCAAACTATTTGCAGAGCCACTGGCTGCATGCAACCCCACTTCACCTACCCAAATCTGTCCCACCTCCTCTGCCATCTCAGCTGGAGGTTTCAGTCCCATGAAGGTATGTGTATATGAGGTAGGAAGAAAATGGATATAGGCCTTATGTTAAACAGGATAAGGGGCCATCCATGTGATGTGCTCCTGCCACGGATGTGGAAACAAGAGACAGGTCCTGATCCCCAAAGGCTTTGGCTAACATCACAGAGCTTACTCCGCATGAAGCAGCTTTTCTAACATGCCGCGTGACACTCAAGCAAGAGCAGCAAACCTGACACTAGCATGTCAACCCGTCCCTGGCCAGCTGCTGTTCTGGGAGCATTGAGTGACTGAGTTATGGAGCATCTTACCATGTTTTTTGTACAGCAGGACATTGCTTCTGGGGAAGGACAAAGCTGTGTCAGCATGTAGAATAATGTCTGATTATATTATATCTGACAGGGTTGGGAGATATAAAGCAGGAATACACAGACTTACGAAAAGTTGGATAGGGGAGCAGGCTAATATTGCTACTGCCTCATAATAACAAATGACCCCCCCCCCCCCCCCCCCCCCCCGCTGTATGGTAACTGCCCTGTAACTGACAAGAGATGCTCTCTGCCTGAGTCTATAAGAAGCAGCCAAATCTACCCTCCCCACCTGTACCAAGCCTGAGTAGCTGAGCTCTGGAGAGATCTACAGAGGGGAGTAGGAACCTCCCAACAAAGCATTCATGGGATTCTGCTCTGAGGAGCCTATTTGTATGTTAAACTTATAGGCTGTCCCTGCAAGTTTCAGGGTTATTTTCTCCTGGGCAGAGCCAGAAGAAATTGTCCTGAGTAGTCTGATAGGATTCACTTTTCCCTGGATAAGATAGTTGGAACTGAGTTCAGCTTGTCTTGGATGGGAGATTGAGGCTCCCTTGATCAAGCCAGGAGAAATCACATGCACATCTTATTAATATGGTATTTGCTGTTGATTTTCCTGGGTTCTCAGCTGTTGCAGTTTATTATTCTTAAGGTACAAAGAAAAAAATATTATGTTTAGTGATGATTTAACAACCAATCTTTCTTTTGCTTTCAGCTACGGGATATATGGGATTTCCTTACTTCAGCAATAAAGCTAGAGCCTGGGGATCTGATTGAATTTAAGAGACTGGGATACCAACACTGGGGCATCTATGTGGGAAAGGGACAAGTGGTCCACTTCACATTTCCAGGTAAATATGAATAAAAAGATTAATCCTTCCTTAGATTCATCACTTAATCAAAAAATATTTTCATCTGATGACTATTTGTCCCTTGTGTAAAAATGATTTCACCCTGGTTCCCAGTGGGATAGATGTGCTCAGCACATGACCCATCATTTAAAATGTATACCAGTGGTCTCCAACCTTTTTCAGCCCAAGATCACTTTTTGAATTTAAGTCAATCCAGGATCTACCTCAAACTTAAACACCTTTGCCCCACCTGCTTCCCTGAGGCCCTGTCCCTGCCCCAATGCTTCTCTGAGGCCCCTCTCAGCTCATTCTGTGGTAGTAGGGTACAGGGGTAGGGGAAAGGGGGCACTCTAAGGCTATATCTACACTGCAGAGTTTTGCGCAAAAACTGGCAGAGCGTCCACACCTCAAGCGCATTTTTGCACAAGAAAATGTACAGTGAATTGACAGAACAGAGCGTTTTTTAGTATAGGTATGCCTCTTTCTACGAGGAATAAGCCTTTTAGCACAAGAGCTCTAAAATGCCTAACCTGTCATGTCCGGAGTAGTTGTCCTGATGGTAGTTATGGTCCTGGAGGTGGCTGGCATGTCCCTGCAGCCCCTGGGAGGCAATCAGAGCTTTATGTGAGAGGGCGTCCATGCAGTCTGGATGCTTTCTTGCGCAAAAGCACTTTTGCGGTGTGACTGTGCTCTTGCACAAGAAGTTTTTGAGAAAGATCTCTTCCACAAAAATTTTCTTGTGCAAGAAGCCTGCAGTGTAGACGTAGCCTAAAATCTCAGCATCCCCCTCCTCAATCTCCCCCACCCTGCACAGTAAGCAGGAGGCCCCCAGGAGGCAGAGGGCAGAAGAAGCACAGCAGTGAAGACAGGGGTAGCTGAAGTACCAGCACTTGATAGCTTCCTGGCCAAACCAGTCAGGATCCCCCGTCAGTGGCTCCAAGATCTACCAGAAGATCCTGATCTACTGGTTGGTGACTATTGATTTACACTAATTGGACCCTGGGAATTCTCATGAGTGAGATGAAGGCCTGAATGGGTCCCAGAGACTGAATTCTTATTTCACCCAAGTGATGCCGGCTCTAGGCATGTGACTAAAGGACATTGAGGTTGGTGGGTGGCAAAATAGGGGACGCGTAGGTGTGAAATGGCAATAATTAAAACTGTTATCTCCACTCTTCCTCCTGCCTATGATCCTCTGTTCTTAAATTGTACATACTCTCAGAGCCTTTCTTGGCACATCTCAGAGTCAGAAGAGCCCTAAGCAATTTCTGACACTTAAATCACAAACCAAAAATCACTGATCCCACTGAGCTCTGCTAGCCCTTCTGTGGCTCAGCCAAGACAGCTAAAGATTTGGTGCCCAAAATTAGTACCAAGCAGTTTGGGCCCAGAATTTTGCTCAGTTCAGATTTGGGGCCCAAATCCAGCCTTTTCACCTCTCCTCAAAATTATAGTTCATCATATACTTCATATCTCAATTTTATCTAGATAGAGTACTCATGTGGCCTCCTTTACTGTAGCATCTGAGTACCTTACAATCGCTAATGTATTTGCCCTTCCTGTAAAGTACTAATACCCCCATTTTACAGCCAGGGAAATGACGCAGAGACACATATCATGTCTCAAGTAAGCAGAAGCTGTTACATGAAGTCTGGAACAGCAGAGTCTTGCATTCAGGTGTCCCAAATTCCAGGTTAACACCTAATCACTCAACAACCTTTCTTCTCACTTCTAACAGGAGACACTGTAAACTTAGCTTATCTCACTCATGAGTTGCTGTAGTAGGGCCAACCGAGAGAAGAAACACTAAGTATGTCTTTTCTAGATATCACTGTGAGAAGGCTGACATTTTTTTTTTTGACAAATAGTTTATTTTCTGAAAACAGTTTTGCATCAAACAAAATTATTTACTAATTTGGGTCAAACAGGAAAATAGTTTCACCTTAAAAATATTTTTTTTAATTTGAAACATTTTGTTTTGTCATTTTCTGAACAAAACATTTTGAGTTGGTTTGTATGTCTAGTTTTTCTAAAATAATGAAAGTAGGGTGAAAATCTACCCAAAGACCCAACAAAATTTAACAAAGGAATATTAATTTGTGTTTAATAAAACACCCCATTCAAACAAAACATTTTTTCTTTTCTTTTTTCCCTTCAATTTAGCCACTGAATCAGAAACATCACTATTTGCGTGCATCTAGGCAGATATGACACATGCCCTTGTGCAAACTCTCAATCCTTTTTCACCTCTCATGTCTCTTTTTTACTTCTAAGAGTTGGAAGAAGGATTGAATAATGTGCTCCATGGAGAATTCTTCAAAGCCAAAGTGCAAAAGGAATGTCTGAGGGCCATAGCTGGGGCTTCAAGCTATGCTGTAAACAACCAATTAGATAAAAAGCACCCTCCATTACCTCTTCGTCATGTGGTAAAGAGAGCTGAGCACCTGGTGGGGAAAAACATAGACTACAATCTAGTTATGGCTAACTGTGAACATTTTGCCACAATGATGAGATATGGCATTGCTGAATCACAACAGGTAAGTCTGATTCCTTCACTTGATCTCCATTTAGAAGAGATGCCCTAGGAATGATTTGGTTATTGGGCCTATTTTGTATTAGTGAAAGAAACAAGCTTTTCAGCTCCATAGAACTTTTCAGGTGCAACAAAAACAGCAATGCTCTCCAGTTGAGTGTAGGGCTTCACTTTGCTAGGCCAGGGAAACAAAAGATGACTTTGAAACTGAGTGCCATTTATTTCCAAACACTTTCTCTGATCTCATGGGAAATCCCTCCTGTGCTGAGCCTGGAATTAAAAAAATCCTAAACTGGATAAGTTACTGGGCCACTCCAACCTACCTCTGCACCCCCTTCATGGGAAAG